AAAAAAATTTCTGAACATTGAGAATACAGATGTTGTTTTCTAGGGGGATGTATTTCTGGTCAAAATATCTCTTCTTTTTCTCTAATGAAGCTAATTATTGTTGATAAGCTAGTTATTTGACAGAGTTACACAGTCACAAATCAGGTTGGTTTTTTTTACTGTTAATTTCTCTGTTCTTTAAAATTAATAATGTGTATAGTAGGAAGTCACTATGTGTTAAGACTAAAAATGTGAGGTGGCTGTGACCTCTATTTGACAAAGTCAAAACTCTTTACATCAGGTGGCTTAATTTGTTCCTTGGAATCCATATTTATCGCAAATATAGGCAGTTAATTCTTATAGAAAATTCACTATTTGGAATGGCTAACAACAGTCCTGATCTAATCCTCAACAACCACAAAACTAAAGTGAAAAAAAAAAAAATCACTTTGGAGTAAACACTATATATTTCTTCCCATATAAAAAACATTATAGAATTAAAGTTTTGTTTTGTTTTCTTCTTTGTGATTTTTAAAATAAAATATTTGGAAAAAGTCAAGAAATATAAAGTTTTAAAAAATTCTTTAAGTAAAACAGTATATGATTTCTTTTGGGAAGTAAAACCTGATTTCTAATTAATTTAACTTAATATAATCGATTTATTTTGAATTAATAATTACAAATTCACAGACTCTATGTCACATCTGGGTTGTAGATGGAAAAATCAAATATCAAGTGCAAACCTTGACATTGCTGACACTTAGCAAGAATAACTGTTGTGCTTCTTACTATTATGATTCCTCTAAATCACTCTTAGATTTTTTCAATCCTGAGTATAAAGTACTTTAAAAGTAAATAAATATAAGGAATCACAAGTAGAAGAGAGCTTTAAGACAATCAAGTCTAAGAGCTTCATTACCCATCTGAAGAAAATGCAGCTTAGGATTTAAAGAAAAATGAAACAGATCATTGCCATTTATTGAAAACTTTCCACGTGTCAGGCAGCCAACCTACCACAATGGTGAAATAGGAATTATCATCATTCTCACTTTAACAATGAAGAAACTGAGACTCAAAAAAAAAAAATAAATAAAAGACAAGGCAGAGAGAGAAGAAAGAGGGGGAAGAGAAGAAAAAAGAAAAAATGGGGACAGGAGTAAATTCACGGTTGCAAAATCATAATGGGGCAATGTGGAGTGTACTAACATTAATGAAGCAAGTGTATGTCACAGCGCCTATCTTCCAAGACCCTATAGTTTCAGGTATGGCCTAACTTTTTAAAATTACACATTGGAATGTTAAGCTTGCAAAAGTTAGGAAACTTTCCCCAGGCTAAAGTCTCTGTTGTAGATAAAGAATTGTAGCACAGCAAAATTGCTGGCTCAAAGGGCAGATGTCCTTGGTGCAGGTTAACCTACTGATTGGTATGTTGAGAAAGTTGCTTGATATGTAAATACACTGAGGAAACTGCTGAAAGAAAAGAAAGCGTTTGCTAAGAACAAGCTTTTGTTGGTGGACCGATTTAACTTTTTACAAATTAATGAGTGCTGCCATGACAATTATCTTACTGTTCTTTTTGTAACCACCTATGTTCCTTTTCTGTAACTTTCTGCCCTGGAAAATAAATACTGGGAGAAGACCCCAGTCCAGTGTTATTTTTCCAAGGAGGAATGCCTCTTTCCTGAGGGTTCCTAGAAAATTAACTCCTTCAGGGCTTCTCACTGCTCAGAAGAAATAGGCTTTGAGTAATCCTTTGCATCTCTGTCACCCGGGGGGAGAGAGGGGACAGAGAAGTTTAAATTCTCATTGCCATATTCAACTCCAAAGCCTGCTCTTTTCCCCTTTCATGGCATTGTTTCTCTGAGTGATATAATTACTTAATTCAGAGCATGGACTAGGGCCTAGTTCTTCCCTCTATGTAATACTCCCTCAATTATTACTTATAAATACATTAATATGGAAAATAACATATAATAGTGGGGTCATATAGTTCCACACCATGATTAAGTGGGGTCAGTCACATCCAAGTTTAAATTCTACTTATTTAACTTAATTACCCTGGTTTCCTTGTCTGTAAA